AACTCTCCTGTCTGCTGCTGGCTGCTCTCTTCCAGAGCTGCCATGGTATTTTTAGATGCAAAGGAGAAATGTCTCCTAACTATATGCTAATCACATTTTCAATGCTTCAGCTGATATTAGAATGATTAAAGCGTTGTCTGAATTCACATACTTTTGTTTGTTGCATTTTGTGGCTGCGTATAGCTTTTCATGTGACTATGCCTAGGTTCTACCAAAATCATTGTTTGGGAGCTGCCACGCAACAAAGGATGTTTTTATCAGAGAAGATCTTTTGAGTTATCCTTGGCTACAACTATCTGAAATACAGGCTTATGCACATATATTTTCTCTGCAGGCAGAGAACAGAGGCAGGAATAGACTTTATAGGCACACTTCTCAAATTTTATTAGGCAAAGGGCTGCCTGACCTTCAGGAAAAAACATGTCTGGGAACTGTCATGTCTGATGCTGCCACCCTGGTGTTCATTTATGGCCAAATAACTTTTTTACAAGATATATTTTTTATTAGTTTTTGTTTGCTCTTTCATTTACAAGCTTGCCTGGATGGGAATGGGCTCCGTAAATCTCTTTGTCTCTCCCCGTGGGTCACTGTCTGGTGTCTCACACTGCACCCTCAGCCCACAGACCACACAGTGCTCTTCTGCCACCACCGTGGCCTCGCTTCCATCACTCCTAGCAAGTGTCTGACAGGCTGAGGAAAACGGTCGGTTTTCTGCAGATGGCACGGTGAAACCGGTGCTTTTTGTAGCAAAATGATGCTGCATACTCAGAGCAGCCTGAGCGTGAAGAAGCTGGAGGGCTGGGCCCAGACAGTGGTGCCGAATGGAGGCAAATCCAGCTGGCGATTGGCACCAGTGGTGTTCTCCAGGGGTCAGTATTGGAGCCCATCCTGATAAAACTGGACAAGGGGACTGAGTGCACCCTCAGTAAGTTTGCAGATGACACCCAGTTGGAAAGAAGCACTGACCTGCCTGCATGTAGGAACGCCCTGCAGAGAGCTCTGGAGAGGCAGGATCTGCCCTCCGCTGCAGTCACAGTGCTGCTTCCGCCATTTTGGCTCCCCTTTGCTGAGCTGCAATCGTGCATTCCGTACCTCCTGTTCACATGGCAGCTCAGCTTCCTCCACACCGAGCCCTTCATGAGCCTCATGGCCACTACCAGAACAGCTGCATCCTTTTCTTCTCACACACTAGGCCATCAATAGAAGGAAGATCCAGTTTGGAGGAATGTTTTTGGAGGAATTAGATATCCCTGCAGCTGGCAGTAGACAGACACGGCCCAGCAGCATGAGGAGGGCTGTGCTGCTGAGGGCTGCCACCCGAGATGGCTGCCGGCTCTGCCCCAGCTGGGGCTGCTCACAGCTGTGCTGGGCCCGGCCCCTCCTGGTGGGCTGGTGAAGGTGACCTGCATGGCAGTTCTGGCTGGGTTCTGCCTGCTGAGGACGAGGTGAGCGAGGGGCCCTTTTCCCTGTGGGGTGGGTTGGTACTGGGGCACGTAATGGCAACTGACCCCACCCTGGGGTCACAGTGTGGCTGCAGGTGTGCTGGGGTGGTCTGGTGCCTCGTTGGAAGACATTGCGTGGGGTGCTTGTGTGCATGGTGCCTTCTGCATGCCTTCCACGGACCCACGAGGGCCGGTTTGCTCCAAGACTGCCAGCCCTGAGAGGGAACAGCGAAACCGGTGTCTCTGGAGGGATGTGAATGGCTCTGCCCTCCTGTGCCTGCTGGGGGCACTGGTGTAAGGCAAAAGGTCAGGCTTTGAGTGAAAATAATCTTGTGCGAGGGCTTGTTTTTTCTGCCTTCCTTTTCCTCGCTCCATAGATTTAGGTTTGTACCCTGATCTGCAAGGCGTCGTAAAGCTCTCCCACAGCTTAGTGTTTGCATTTAATGTATGTAAACATGTGATGTATTTAGGACTGAGCTAAACCATGGGGTGATAGATTTGGGAACCGACAAAAGTGCAAACGGAAGTGTTTGTGTATGATGGAATTAAGGCAATGCCTTAATAAAATATGGGAAAGAAGACAAGGAGAGCCTCGTCTCTGCTGTGGTATCAAGCACATTGTGACTAATGCAGATATATTTTTTCCCTATCACTACCAGAATAGAAGTCTAAAACTAATTGTTATCTGCCACCTGCTGTTTGTAAAGCAGCTTCTCTTAAATAGTCCCTATATATTGCGTTCAGCTGTCAGAAGGAGCTGCTTTTTTCATGGCCAGCAAAATGCATTTCAGTATGAACACAGCTCCATGCAAAGGTCACCCCATCAAAAATGTTTTCCCTCAGCAGTGAATGTAATGGCAGAAAAAGCATTTTGCAGTCCATTCTCACCATTTTACTTTATTTCTTAAATGGTAGATGTCTGGACGTTAAATTCCCTTTGATGGGCAGAGTTTGAGGGTGGATGTCTTACAGCATATGCTGAGCTGCCCCCTCCTTTTCCTTTGTGCTTCAGTATGGGCTCTGCAGTAGCTGCTTATGACAGGTAATATGAACCATAAAAAGAGTGGGAGACAGAAGAAAATTACCTATTCTTTTTCATTGGCTACCGTTCCTTAGCGCATTAGTATGTGTTCCTGTGTGTGTTAGTGTTTTAATGGTAGTTTGGTCCCTCGATGCTTGAATTAGTTTCCCTGTCAGTGCTTCTATTTTCTTGACATGTCTCAAATATGAAAAGGCTTCGGGAACCAGCCCACGGAGCAGGGGAAACTAAAGCATCTGTAAATATCACTACAGACAGTAGGCAGAGGTCAAAGACGGGGGGGGGGGGGCTCCTGCTAACACTGCTCTGCAGAAGGGTCAGGCTAAGGCAGCCTGAAGTTACAATTACAGGTACAGCCATGCAGGAGTGCCTGCCCTGTGTGTGTGCTCACAGACCTGCTTGTAGTATAACCTGCTGGAATAAAAGATAGGTCCATCTGCTGTGTGGTACCTGTAAGCTGATGTTTCATCTTTAGGGATGTAACTTGTAACTGTTCCACCCAAATTTTTACGCTGTCTTTGCTAATGGTTTGAAGTTGTGGAGAGGAAGTTTGGTGAAAGCTTTGTGTCCCAAGGGGAAGTGGTTGGTGCTGTGCTGCCTGGGTCAAACCATGGTGACCCTCCCCAGAGGACTGTGTGCCCACATAATGGAAACAACAGCTCTGCATGTTCACCTACCAAAATACGAGGAATGGTTGTTCAGCAGTAGCAAAGGGAAGCTCAGGATCACTGGGAACACAACCCCAGCTGTTCTGTCTTTTCTAGAAGAAAGAAACTGTTCTTCAAGGAAACATTTCTTCCAATTTCATCTGCTGTTTGATTGTGAGCACTGATTTAGGCCTAACTCTGCTTATGTGCACAGAGATCTTAAAGTAGCAGAGTCTATCCTTGGCTTTGTGTGAAACCAGGGAACAGCAATAGTTTGGAGACCTTAGACATCAGCCTTCAGAGGTGCATGTGGATGTGGATGGAGCTCAGGGTGTCTGAATTGCTGAGCCTGGGCTGTCCCTGCCTGATCTGAAAAATCAATCTGGTAGTGAGCAGCAGTAATAGATGGAAATTTCTGTTGTACCTGCTTCTAAGAAATCTGGTCTAAGAAAAAAACCACTCAGTCTGGTCTCTTCTTTGTTCTATGCTTCTGAGTAGCCCAGAGAGCTCCCTTGTCTCAAACTGCAATGAGGATGAAGGAGTCCTTACTTTTTTTTCTGGGCCACTCTGTGAGTGGCAGTGACCACAAAATAATGTCTGTTCAGAAACTCAAGGTGGATCTTTGGAAAATAGCTAGGAAAGACATAAATTAGCTTCTGTATTCTGTAGTCAAGGGCATGCCAGGAGGATGTAGAAAAGTTAGGAATCACCTCTATTCTGTTTTTCTGTGGGTGAAATCAGCAGCACAAAACTTAATAAAAAACCATGTACTTTAGGTAGAATATTGCACGTGGATGAAATGTGCTGCAGTGTTGGACTCTTTCTGTCACTGGTTGATAATCACTTGCTATTGACTTCTTTAGGCAAACTATGGAAACCTCCAGCATCAGGTTCTCTGTAAAATGGATTTTGCTGCAACCAACGGGGGTGATGCAAGTGCACGTTTGCTGACATTCCTGGGATCCTTGTCTATTTTTGGGAGAGTGCTTTGAAAGGCTTGATTGGGAAATTCTTTCTGTCAAATCATACTTGTAATTAAACCTGTCTGTTTAGTCATGAGTTCAGGCAGGATTATTTTTGTTTTCTAACAGATTGTGCAATGTATTCTGCCACACATCTGCTGCTTGGTGCGTGCTGGGGAGGGTGGACACCTGGTGTCAGTGGAGCAAGAGTAGTGGAGTGGAAACAGTGGCCTCGCTGGGAATTTCCTTGAAGAATAAAAGCCCTGCATGGCTATTTGTGAAGTATACTTATATTTAAGCAGCAGCATGGGTAGATTTGTCATGAAGCTGGAGGTGTTGTGAAAGCAAGTAACTGCAAGTTGGCCAGGTGCTTAAAGAGGATCCATCAGTTGTGACAGGTGAACTTATCTGGCAGCAACACTTGCACCATGGCTGTGTTGCACACAGGTGGTTGTTACTGAGAAAGGCATTTGCACCACATACCTTGTGCATATGTTGCATATGTTCTAAGATGCTGTCTGTTTCTGTCATATTGTCTGGTGGGTCAGACGGAAAATTACCTGCATATTCAAGTACATGGATGACAGCTGGATCTGCTCTCCTGAAATTGGGGTAATCTGGAGGAGGAAGGGGAATGTTCCCTTCTGGACAGTGGTAGGAAGGGATGGATGTCTGAGCACTGCTTCTGCCACGTGGACGCTTGAGTCTTTGCAATACTTAAATCACAGAAAATGTGTGTGCTTTTCTTGTTGTGCCAAAGCCAGACAGCCCTAACCCAGCTGGAGGAAAATAACAATTTGAGAAGAGATCTCATCAAGCAAGATGTTCCAGGTCGTTAAGAAACAACCTACTGTATGCTTTAAAGGTGCTGCGGTGCATAAAAAGAAATGGCTCATGCTTGTTCTGGAAAATCTAAAGTAGAATAGGCAGATACTGACCTCATCTCTTCATGCTGGAAAATTACTGCCACATAACTTGGCTTTCTTGCCATCTTAAAGTGGTTATTGGAGTCAGCAATGTGGAGGCAAGCACGAATGTGGCTCTGTTGTGTATGCTGCAGCAAATTCTCTTGTTTGGAAACATGTATAATGAATGGAAAAGCAAGTGGGCAAGCAGTACTGTTTAGCTGTTTAACTGGCCTCTTCCACGTGTCAGGAAAGCCTGGGAAGAATTCAGAGTGAGCTATGTTGCCTGACCCTTGCACTGAGAGCAAATTGCTTCTGCTAGCCATTGTACAAGCTTTTGGTCTGCTGCCCCACATGCTCATTTGGGAAAGAAGGTCCCAGAGAGGTCCTCTGCAACAGCACTGAGGAAGATAAGCCCATACTGAGATACAGGCAGAGCGTACTGGTCTGTGAGGATCCAAGCAGGCTAGCAGTACATGTTGCAAGTGGCTGTTCCAGCCTCTCCTATCCCCTTGCCAGTTCACAGTTCTGGACATTTTCTGCAACTGGAGAGACCTGGTTGGCAGCCCTGTAGGTGAGTTCTGCTCACAGCACTCTGCTAGGAGGTGAGAACCTTGCTGAGGTGGGCCGTTGTAGCTGAAATGCAGAGTCGCAGCTTGAAACAGTGATTGAGCACCTGGTGGGAAGACAGGGCCAACTCAGAAGAGCTCAGCTGCATGCAATGTACCTGAGTGACTGGAAGGGTAGAGCCAGGATCTGTCCCCTCCCAGACCTCATTTAAGGGTTGGCAGTGGAGGCAAGGGTATTTTGCTGGAGATTTCTCTGTACGTGAGGCCTTCAGAAGGCAAGAAGATTTTTTTCCTTTGTTTCTGTGTCTATGGCTGCTGCATTGAGCATATCCTTACTTGCAGCCTAGGACTTTGCTGCTACACTGTCATTGCTGCACTTTCCATTGTGTTATAGCATTACAGCTATCGTTCTTTTTTGGACTAGAATATGATTAATAAACAGGTTCTGTTTCTGCATATAAACTCAGACTTTGCTGGGAGAAGGAATTATGGGGCAGGGGAAAGACTGGAAAACTTTGAAATGCGATGGAACTGCTGGGTAGCTGAGCCAAGACTCCCTGTGTGGAGATGGAAATTGCTCTGGGAGTTTGCCGAGAGCTGAGGAGCTCTGAGCCTGGTGTGGTCTGGAGGTCCCCGGGTTTCCACACAGCCTGCCAGGGGAGTCAGAGCCAACCCTTGGCTTGGGATGGAGCTCTCCTTGGCTTCAGGCTCTTGGTTTCCAGCAGGACAGCTGTAAGCCAAAGGCCATTAGCCTTGAGGCAGGCCACGTGGGAGGGGACCACTGCAATATGTCTGTTTGGCATGCTTGGATGGAGGGTAGATTAAGAAGATTAAAGTACATCACCTGGCAGCGATATACTTCCTGGTGGGGAAGCCTGCCATTTCCCCGGGGAAGCTATTTCAGTGGTTTAATTACTTTCACTTCTGGTAAACAAATTTTCATTTCAAGGCTGAATGTACGTGACTTCAGTTTCTTCCCATTGGGTCCTCTTTTGATGAGGCTTACTCTTGGCTATCTCTTCCCTGTGCAAGTACCTGTGAGTATCAGTTGAGTTGTCCCTTTGTTTTATTCAGACACATCAAACTCTTAATCTGTCTTTGCAGGAATTCTTCAGGCTGTGGTTTTGTTTTGGCTTTTGTTTAAGCTCATTTCTGTGTTTCCTTGCACTCTGAAAGCTGGCTCTTTGCTCTGGGAGCAGTTCTCCTGGGGACTTCTCAGGTCTTCATACAGAGCAGCTTGCCCTCATGTTGCCCAGCTTGCAGCCATGTAAGACATGCATCAATACCTCAGAGAGTTTAAGTAAAAATTGTTTTCCATGAACATTGCTTCTGTGAATCACTGTTTTCTGTCTTGCAAATGTAACCATTTTTTTGGATTCCAAATCTGCAGCCTTGCAGTAATCCAGTGAAGTAATGTGCTCACAGTGCAGCTGAGTCTGTGAGCAAGTATTAGCACTGCTTGCCAGGTTGCTGTTTGCTACCAGGTCACTTGTCTGCATGTTATTAGCACTCCCAAAGTAAGAACGTTCTCCTTCTGATCTCTGTTTCAAAACCATTTGCTTGCAACTTAATTGTCCTTTGTCAACATGAGATGATTTCCAGCTAGCTTCAGGCTTGGCTAGGCTTCAGCTGGGTGGGGAAACATGAACTGCTTGTGTTGGGACCACGCATTTCGGTGGGATTTTGTACCATCAAGATGGAAGGTGGGGATGGGAATGTTGGAGGGGAAGCTGGGTCTGATACCTATCATGGAGGCGTTAGGTACCACGGAGATGGCTCATTCTAGGTGTGTGAGCACTTAGAGAGAAGCTGCTGACTGTGATTCAGAGCCTCCATCTGCCATGTGCAGGCTGTGCTGTTGGCCAGAAGAGCCATTGCTGTTTGTGGTGAATATTTCTTTCGCTCTGAGCTCTGTTATTTGGCTATTTAGCATCAGAGTTGGTTAACCCTGTGAAAACTCACAAGGTGGGCAACTCAGAAAGTGAGTCATTGTTTAATTACAGATTAATGTCTGCTCACCTGTGCAGCGTGACACATGAGCAAAATCTGGGAGGACTGGGGAAGGAAGGATAGCTACCACCCACAAGAGCCAGTTTGCACATCGGAATAGCGAGTGTCTGACTGTTATGAAACTGTGCTGGAATGAAGAAAAGTTCATTCATCCCACCTGTTCCACTTCCCTACTGTCTGACTGTGGCTGAGGCTCACTGAAGCTGGTGGGATTTTCATGCAGCGTTTGGACATGGGTTTAATTTCTAATTTATCATATTTAGGAGAGACCAAAGTAAGTGCTGAATGCCTTGGTGAATGGAGATCTGTCAGAGGGGAAAAGGAAAGGGGGGATAGGAGCAGAAATCAGAATGGGAATGCAGGATATCTTCACTAATAGGGTTTGTTTTCCTATTTAAATGCAAATATTTCTCATCATCATCCTATTTGTGGACAAATAAGGTAATTGCTCCTTGTGGCTATGCTGAATCTGCTGGTATAATGGGCAGTCAGATTGGAAAAAAAAAATAATGCAGGCAGTTGGGTGAAGATGGGATGTTAAATGTTGTGGAGCCTGGAAACCCTGTGTCAGCCCACAGCTTGTAAAGAGAAAACCATCACTTGGCAGAGACAGCTTAATAGGCTTGTAAAATCTGGCACTATCAAAGCCATGATTTGGATTTTATCAAAGCATGGCAGGGGAGCCTTGAGAAATGACAGCTGTATTATCTGTCTTCAGATCATTCTGAGAGCAACATCAGGAACAGACTGGAAACGGTTCAGAAATAATTTCATGTTGAGGGCTTGCTGGGGGCAGGAACGTATAGGGAAAATTGAAATTATAGAATTAATAGCAGTATCAGTAACCTTCTTACAGCAGCTATCAGAGATGACATGAAAATGACTTGAAAGTTGTCATCTACTGCATGTTTTATTCCCATCAGAAAGGTTTGAGAGATGAGAAGAGAATCCAAACAAAGCAATTAATACTGGAACAGGTTGTGGAAAGGAGGAATGACTGTTCTGTAGAACCTTTAAATGCAGTTTTCCCTGCTAAGCACAGTGGCTGGACCAAATGGATACAGCGGAGCAAATACTGGAGTGAACAGATTTCTGGAGTGACGGCAGGCATTTGCAGTCTCTGCTGGTATGCACAGGGCAGTCTGTGCAAGATGACGGTCACTGCAGCAAAAGGCACAATGCAGCTGTTCTGGAAGCAGGGGCTGGAGCTAGCGTTTCATACCAGCTAAAACCTGCGAGACGCTGAGCGTGGTTCAAATTGACTGAAGTCACTGCCAAGATTTCTAGTACTTTTTCTGGGCTGTGGACCAGTCCTGCTCAGTCCAATCCAGTTAGTGTGGGTGTAGGGGATGGCAGACATCCTGCTTTTTTTCCTCTATGTGAGCTGACTCTAGCCATTTGTATGCGTTTCTTTTCTCCAGAATGGCCTGACTTGCAGCCAGGAGCTCTCTGTATTTGTCCCAGACTTTGGCATTCTGGGCCCAAACTGGGACTATCCATAGCTACTAGAAGAGAGAGCCCAGCACGTAGGTTAAATCACATGTAAGTGATGGCATGACTGAGGCAGCCAAGCTCTATTTCTAAATGTGACTTAGTTACATAACAACTGAAACTGCTCAGAAAACGTTCCCCTTTCTGAGGTCCAAATGCTTTCCAGACATTACCTAACTCATCAGGCTGCAATGGGACAGACTATTGTGATCCCATTTGCCAGTTACAGGTCATTAATGTGCAGAGGAGAAGGGACTTGTTTTCAGACTTTCTTAGAGGCGGCAAGTTTCTATTGCATTTAATCCTGAAACTTAGCCTCTAAGTAATCCAGAACTGACATTAATTTTGATCAGTATTAGCTATATTTTTGCCATACAGCTGACCAAACCTGCATGTTTCCAAGATTAAAAGAAAAAAAAAAAGCTTGCTGTCTCCATTTTCTAAATTAGCACTTGTTTGTCTGAGTGCTTTAGAAACTGATCAGAGAAACTGGAGAAATCAGTTGCGAGTGTGGTGAATTGTACCCAGTTGTGCAAGGCTAAGAGCGCAATATTGCAGAGGAGAAAAGTTTGAGGTAAGCAAGTTGGTCATTGCTTTCTCTTGCCTGCAGCACAGCCTCTCTAAAACTAATCAGCATCTCCTTCATAATGGAGGCAGATACAAATAAAGAGGCGTACGCTGTTGGGTGTATCCAGGCACTGAGCTGTCTGCTGCTCTGCTGGAAGAGGCAGACCAAGGGCTGCCGAACAGCTGGAAGTCAGCGAGGAAGCAGCTTGATGGCTGCACTGAGATTGGCAGCCCCTGTGCAGCTCAGGCTCTTGCTGTGCATCTGGCAGGACCTTGCAGTTCAGTCCTGTGCCTCCATCCACTCCAGAGAGCCCTTTCCTGCTGCCCTCTGCCCCACAAAATGGGCTGTGATATAGGCAGACTGCGGTCCCTGAAGCAATGGGCGATTTGTGCTGCTGGAGAGCTGGCTTTGCTTGTTGAGTGGGAATGTGTCATCCTGAAGAAGAGCAGGGTTAGAGATGCACTCACTCAGTGTCTGTTCCCGCTTGTCATTTTCCCTTTTTCAGAAAAAGAGAAAGTGCCTTTCTAAGGGGAAAAAAGAGTCAGTGTGTTCAGTGGTTGTGGTGTGTGGTGATTCTCCTAGCCAAAATAGCCTGTGAGCACCCAAAGTGAGAAAAGACTTCTGTGAATCAAGGTACTTTCTCCTCTTGAACATTCACTTTTCTCTGCCGTTTAGAGCTGATTTGACTGGGAGTTTTTCAAAGGTACCTGCCAAGGATCAAAGTCAGACCCAGTCTGTACAACGTCTGTGCCTTTTCCATTTGGTTTATGCAGATATTAATGAGGTGCATTTCACATGGCTTGACATTCACATCTTCTGTTTACTCTGGTGAGGTTGTTCTGCCGTCCTTCTTGTTTCAATAAGCAGCAGAGATGCCAGGATCGTGTTCTATGAAGATATTTTTCCACATTAAGATTAGCAGAAACAAAAATAGGG